TTCAGTGCCGGCGTTTCATCACTTACATTTCCGTCGCTGGGAGGTTCTTAGTGAGCAGGAAAAATCTGCTCTGAATGTGTGGCAATCCACACATATGAAATTCATAAATCACCGTTCAGTTTGCGCGGCGTTCGTGACCTAAAAATTCTCAGAGGAATAAGAGCAAGTGCAGAACCCCGAAAAGGATGTGATGACGTATGTGCGGGAAAGTGTTACAATTGCTCAAATGTCTCAAAAAGCGGTTCAGATTTGGCTTTAAGAATGAATGCAAGCTGGTTAACTCAGCCAGAAACTTGGCATACAGAAAATGTACTAGACATATGTTCCACATTTTTACTTAACAATTGGACTAGCAAGTTTGCATACCAAACAATCTGGTAGTATTAGTAGTGGATAAAATATCATTTTTATGACATGTATAGATCACTATAGGTCACTATAAATCAAAATAAATCAAAATAATGTATATTTTGCTATAGTTGCTATAATTGGTAAAAGTTCCAATTATATCCAACTATAGCAAAATCGTGTTTTCCTGATGAAGAGCATAACCCTGAGAGTACTGAAGATTCAGGAGGTTCAGATTTGGGGAAATATCTCCTTTGGAGATGCCAAAGTCCTGTTCTCCAGCACAGATATGACAAAGCTATACATCAAATTGAAATACTGATCTCAAACTAGCCATGTATAGCCTGACATGAGGGTAAATCTGGCTGATTATTCTGATAGTAATTATATATCTTGTATAACCTTATAAGCTTTGATCCAACTCTTCACATTTTCCTGATAAAGGAGGCTGAAGAAAAGGGAGGATGGGTTGAGATTTAGGGTAGAAGGTGGGTAGTGGAGGCTGAAGGTAGGTCTGAGGAAGCTAATGGAAGGCTGAAGGAAGGGCTGAGGAGGATGGGCAGCAGGTTAAGGTTTAGGATGGAGAGTGGGTTGAGGTTTAGGATGGAGGGTGGGTTATGGAGGATGAAGAAAGGGCTGAGGAGGATAAAGGAAGGGCTGAGGATGCTGAAGGAAGGGCTGGGGAGGATAGATGGCAGGTTGAGATTTAGGATGGAGAGTGGGTTGTGGAGGATAAAGAAAGGGATGGGGAGGATGGACAGCAGGTTGAGGTTTAGCATAGAGGGTGAGTTGTGGAAAAAAAGGATGGGCTGGGGAGGATAGATGACAGGTTGAGGTTTACAATAGACAGCAAGTCCACTTGGCACTTGCTTGGGTTTCAATTTGTGCATTGCCTTTACCTTGATATTGTGATCAAAGGCCAGTTTTGCAACACTGGTGCTTGTATATTGTGGAAATTCAGCTTCACTAGTTTTTTTTGCTGACCATTTATCCAGCATCTGTGCCATCATATCGTAGTTCCATGTCCCTGGTTGCTTTCAGATATCGGAGGACACATTTTTCAGCTTCCCAGTGATGGCTCCTTGGAGCTGAGCTATGTCTGCTTAGTATTCCAACAACGTAGGCAATGTCTGGGCGGGTTCCAAGCATGGCATACATAAGGGAGCCTACAATTGAGAGGTATGACACTTGACGCCCTTCAATATGCATCTCATGTTGCACAATATCTTCCCCTGGAGCATTTGCAAGGAGTTTTGATCCATGGGCCATTGGTGTCCATACTAGTTTGCAGTTCTTCATTTCAGTACGCTCCAGGACTGTGTCAATGTATTGGCGTTGCAATAGGGATATTGTTTTGTTTGAACAATCACGTTGGATTTCTATTCCGAGGATGTATTTTGCTTCTCCAAGGTCCCGCATTTTGAATATGGATTCGAGTTTGGCTTTTGTGATATCCATGAATTTTCGGGATGAAGCTCCTAGAAGGAGGTCATCTATATAGATAACAACAAAGCATATTTGTTTGTTGTCCCGGAATACATAGAGACATGTTTCTGCATTTAGTCTTGTGAAACCGAACTCCTGGAGCTTGCGATCAAAGGTTTTGTTCCATGTACAACCAGCTTGTTTTAATCCATAGATGGATTTCTTCAATCTCCAGCAGTATCCAGGTTGGATAGGAACACCCCCTGGAGGAAGCATGTACAGTCCTTCTTCAAGTTCTCCATTGAGATAAGCTGTGTATACGTCCATTTGATCAAGTTCTAGGTCGTACTTTGCTGCCAGGGCTAGAATAATTCAGATCGACTCTAAGTTTGCAACCGGAGCAAAAACTTCCTGGTAATCAATCCCCTCCCTTTGTGTAAAACCTTGTGCAACAATCCGGAGTTTGTATCTCTTAATATTTCCGTTTTGATCAAACTTGATCCGGAACACAGGTTTTGATGTGATAGGTTTCACACCCTTTGGAAGTGGAACAGTGTCATATACTGCATTAGTATTGAGACTTAGGAGTTCCTCCTCCAAGGCAGACTTCCATAATTCTCCATCCGGACGTGATAAGGCTTCCTTTAGTGTCCTTGGAAGGTCTGTGTTAGATGGACCGGTACTTGCTATTCCAGTAAAGAATGTCTCCTCTGTATCAGATGTTTCTTCATGAACCTCAAGAGTGTTAGGTTTCTCCATGGAGTTGTCATGCTGCTCTTTTTGAGACTGTTCCTCATCTAGAGTCTTTTGATAATCTTGGTTTTTGTCTGCAGGACGGGTCTGGCGACTGCTTTTGCATACTCCTAGGACTTCAGCAGGCATGATTGCTCTTTTAGGAACTTGTGCAGGTACTCCAGGGAGTAGACACATTTGTGTGTGTGTTGCCCCACTCACTCCTGAAGGTGCTGAATCACTCCTCGGAGGTGTTGGATGCCTTCCAGAAGCTGATCCAATGGACAGGCTGTTTAGCTGTATCCGGACTTTTTCCACATCAGCTGGCTGTATGTTGAGGGGCTGTCCTCCCACTGACTGTGACTCTACTTTGGCTTTCCATTCTGAAGATGGCCAGTGTTCAGGTCTTGGTTGTAGAGACTGTTGTGGAGGGTGTTTTAGCTGATCAGGTGCTCCCACTGCTCTCGGAACATCTCCACGGAGGTATTGCCCCACTGCTCTTGAAACATCTTCATGCTGATATGGTTCCATTGCTTGTGGAACATCTCCTTGGAGATGTGGTTCCATTTGCAATTCATTTGGATCTCGGATCCGAGGGTCAGGATCATCCTCCTCCAATGTATTTTGGTCTGGATAGTGAGCATTCTCTGGAATGAGTCCCTCCCACTGATCTGTGCTAGTGTCTGTGTTCCAGGGAGCAGTGTCGTCCTTTTGTACCTTTCCGGATTCATTGAATATGACATGCCAACTGGAAAACACAGTCCATTTTTCAGTGTCTAGGAGTTTGTAGGCTTGCTTTCCATGTGTGTAGCCAATCATTATGGCTTTGCGCCCCTTGGAGTAAAACTTCCCTTGCCTTTTGTCTTTCGGAATCAAGGCATATGCTTGGCATCCGATAGGGCAAAATAAAGTTGGATCAACTCTCCTTTTAAACAGTATTTCATATGGGGTCTTTCCATGGAGTCCTGATGCTGGGCTGCGTGCTGTGATATATGCAGCTGTTTGCATGGCATCTACCCAAAATGACTTTGGGAGCTTGGAATCATGGAGCATATTGGTTGCTAATGTAGCCAATGTCTGATTCATGCATTCTGCAATGCCATTTTGTTCCGGAGTGTCTGCAGCTGTAGTTTCTTGGATGACACCATCTCCTCGGAGTTGATTTTTGAATACATTGTCAGTATATTCTCCTCCCCCATCACTCCGGAGGAATTCTGTGTATAGTGGAGTGAAGTTTTCTTCTCCCAAGTGAGTCTGGAAGGATGTTTGGACATCTTCTTTCCATTGCTTGTATTGTTCCAGTGCTTCACTTTTATGTTTTAGGAAATTTATTCAAGGAAATTTGGAGAAATCATCTACAATGATAATCCAGTACGGAAAAACCTCCCTGGAAGTTGGTTTGATTGGTCCTCCAACATCTGTGTGCACAATTTGTATGGGGCACTTGGCTCGGTTTCCTCCAGTGGACTTGAAAGGTAATTTCTTCTTCTTTCCTAAAGCACAAGGTTCACAAAACTCCGGGGTTCCGGTAAAAGTGTCTATGTCCTGGAGCTGTCCTTTTGTAACCATTTGTTGCAAGCGGTCCATTCCAATGTGTCCCATTCTCCTGTGCAATAAATTTACATCTACTGCTGCAAAAGCTGACTCTGGGTTGATTTCGGGTTTTGCTTGGATGTGATAAAGTCCTCGCTTGTGTAAGGCAGTGAGGATAAGTTCCTCCTTTTTCCAAACTTCACAAGTGTTTGACCCTGCTGGAAAAAGTGTTGATAACCCCGTTTTGGACAATTTGTGGACAGAGACGAGTGCTAACGTGAAGTTTGGCACAAGTAAAACATTTGACAGTGCAATATTGTAGTTACGATAACACAATTTTCGGATCTTTCCTTCATTTTCATTCTCCGCTTTAACCTTGTACTTTAGCTTTCACACACGGTGCTACGCGGCACTTCCCCTTTTGTCCAAACTTCTCTTTCTCGCACCACATTGCCTTTCTTATTATTTAGACACAACTCTCTCACACAGTGGAGCTGGCCATGTGGGCTAGGCCCCATGACATCATCAGCCACTGTCTCTATCAAACTGTATAGTACACATGTACAAACAACCCTGTAGTAGTATATATACCCCAATAGATCCAGGAGACTCCTCAGCGAGTCCTCCTGTTGTATACCAACAAACTCTCTGCAGCTCAAGGGGTAACCACTCCCTCATCATCTTCCTTACAGTGTGTTCTGTGTGCGCCAGAGTAACTAACTCTTGGTTGTTACAATAACCAAGATATGAATCTTTCCCCTGCATTTAGGGCTCATCTGGAGCAATGTATCAGACTCAACAATCAATTTCTGTAAAAATATTCAGCACATAATAAAGATATCAGTGTTCATATTGAAGACAGTATGTTCTTATGTTGTTAGTGATACATATAAACATTGCTGAAAAATTGGTTCTTGCAGATATTATCACTGATATTTCTCCTGAGCCAGGCATATTTTATGTATATATCAATTTGTGTCATATACTAAACCCTTTCTGCAAAATATGTAGCTTATTCCATAGATATTGTGAATGATGACTCTAATAGAGAGCATAATAGTGACAAGGATAACAACCTTGATATAGGGAATAGGCTGTTGATATTTTCAAATCTAGAGGATAAAGATGTCAGAAATATCTGTGATCATAGTGATGATTATGGTGATAATGTGTATGACAAGGTCCTGCAAGATAGAGTTAAACATGCTAAACATATGATAGTGAAGTTATTGGCAATCACCCCTCTATTCAGATGGATCTTCAGAAAAAATCATTAGGTGGAGACAAGTGTCCTGTGGTACCACCGTACTCTGCTGCTGAGCCAGGAAAATTGATGGACTCACAAATACAGAGCCTGGAACACTACATTGCATGAAAAATGTTTAACACTGGTATCAAAGCATATGAGCTTCATGCAAATACTACAGTAAGCTACTCAACTACAAATATTCTCACTATACTCTGTCTGCAAGCTTGCCAGCTCTTTAGCCAAGATAGAGCCTGTGAAAATTCATATGTGTTCAAAGAGTTGTATTCCATATACAGGAGACTATAAGGACTTACAAGTTTGTCCTTATATCACAAAGGGTCAAAATACCTGTAAAGAAAATCAATACATTGCTGGGTCAAAATCAAAGCCAAAATCACAAATACTCTGTGTCTCATTTATCCCAATTATCCAAGCAATGTTCTCAAACAAAGAGTCATCACAAATGCTAAGATACAGGGATAAATGATTGTAGAAAATCTTGAAATTATTTGCAGCTGGCTCTAAAGCTTCCCAGAATCAAAGATATTCAGATTTTCCTAATAGGAGTGTACATGAACACCACTATAATGATATGGGGCTGTTTCAAGATAAACATGATATTGTTTTTGCATTATCCACAGACAGTGCTTAGCTTACTATGAAAAAGCAATCCAACACATAGATATTGATTCTCATATTATTTAATTTATTAATTTACCTCCAGAAATAAGGTATCAGTCCAATGACATCATCTTAACCATGGCAATTCTAGAATCTCAGAGTCCAGAAGAGATTGAGTCATTTATATACCCCCTTTTCCATGATGCAGCAAAATGCAGTAAAGGGATATAAATGTGGGATGTTAAAAATTTATTTCATAAACCACATGTATCTATCCATGGTACTAGGGGATATGCTTGGTTCAGCAAAGTTAAATGGAATGGCAGGACATACTGCAATTTATGGTGATAGATTTGTTTTGATTAAAGGTGCAAGGTCTAGCCTTGAAAAGGGTGCCAAGGCTCAGTACCATCCAATTGTCCTACCTAATAATGACAAATATAATAAAGAATGTGCAGTTTATAACCTTGATAAGTTGCCAAGACGTACAAATGAGCATTACTGGTCTACAATCAATAAGCTCAGTATGGCCGCAATAAAAAGCCTTCATGCTACAATTACAAAGGAGACAGGCATTTCTTGCATGCCTTTGACAGCAACAAGTCCAGCATTTGTCCACCCCTACTTCCAATTGATCCCTTTTATCTGTTTTTTGAAAACATTGTGGCATTTATATGGGATTTGTGGACAATATTTAGTTTACCATCTGACCCAATTCATCTTGATAAGAGCAAGGCAGAAATGCTTGGTAAATTGGTTGCTTTAGGGATGTCAACATTGCTACCATCATTTTGTGGTTCTGTTTATGACCCTCATTTAAAGAGACAAAGCCAATACAAAATCTATGAGTGGATAGCATTACTCTATTGGTATATATTACTAATTGGCATTCAGTTAAGGATAAACTCATTGTTATTTCAAAATTTCTTCCACCCCAAAGCAATAATTGAATTTGCTAAGACTATCAAAATAAGGAGTATTGAAGATTTGACTAGTCTTCACCAGCTCATCAAACTATTTCTGACTAACTTTGAGAGAATCTATGTTGATGTTCATCTTAAGAAGATCTCAAGGTTCTGGTTATGTGTCTTCCAATTGACTCATGTTCTTGTTTATATTGAGTGGTATGGGTTGTTATGTATTGGCTCTCAAGCTAGAAAGAACTATTGGAGAAATGGGTCACAAAATTCACCGGAAAAAGCACATTTTGCCAATCTGGCTAACATTATGTGTGAGAGAGAGGTTTTGAAGGATGTCCTTTTGTATTATCCTGAGCTAGAGCCACAATCAGAAAGTAAGGTGGCAAGCATCTTTTTCACAAAAATATTAATCAGGAAGAAAGAGTGGTAACACGGTCAATTATTTTCTGTGCATATTCAAGCTATTTCATTCTATGAGATTGAAGGATATGAAAATGGATTTGTTGTTTACCAACCCCTTAATAATGTTCAGCACACTCTAAATATATGGAAGGGAAAATGGTCTGAAGATATTAATCTTATCTGTCTCCTCTATAGTAAATATTGTTGGAATATGGTACTACAACAATTAAGTGTACAGTGACTCCAAAAACTGTTGCAATGTTTGGCCTAAATGCGGTGTGCAAAGTGCACTGCCAACAGGCATAGGAATCTTGCTCAGCTTTGGTGAAGTCAACAAAAGTACTTGGTCTTGGCTACAAAATGGTTCCTGGGTCATATGATTTGGCCCAGCGGTTGTGAAAATATGCTCATTTCAAAACAGCAATACCATTGCAACAGTTTTTTCACTTTGGTATCAAAGGAGATATCTAGGGAATATCAGTACTTGGTATAGCCTCTTTTTGCCTTGAGCACTACCTGAATACTCCTAGTACAGGCAACACCAGCAATCTTTACCTGTATGATCGTGACTAGTAGCATAGAAGTGATAAGCACATATCCTACTTCAAGTCAGGCTAGTACCATATACTACTAGTAATAATGTCAATACTCAGGCTTAATAACCATAATGATTATACTGTACTGTTTTGACCTGAACTTTGTCACATAGTCACAGGCTATTATAAAGCAAAGCTATTCAGTGTGATGGTCACATATTTTTACTCCATTCAAAACTAATTTACCAATGGTTATTCAAGATGCAAAAAAGTGAAATATCAGCTCAAATGAGTTAAAGGGCTAAATACAAGACAGCGGTGTGATCACTATAAAAATCAGTAAACTGCTTGTTAGCTACCTGTTGTCTCTTTCCTTGTCCGAGTTCTTACCACCAGAGATTTGCATTAATCCAGACTTGCTTCACTGTGATAAAATTGCTTGATAAATCAATTAGTAGGTGAAAATAATAGTACAGAACCTAACAGGCCTGACAAACCTCTATCCAATTATCTTTCATATCAAAAACCTTTGACAGAAGATTCACCAAATGGCAATCTATCAAAGCTATCCTTAGACCAGTCACATATCACCAAACCACCACAAAAACATAAAGCTAAATATGACATCAGTCACATCAAGTATCAGTAAAATTCAGGTCAAAATAGTATAGTAGTAGTGGTTACTGTCACTGGCAATGCTAGTACAGCAGGACTACTAGTGACTTTAAGTTGGACTTGCCAGCCTATGAGTGCTAGTGAGTCAACTCCAAATTTCAGTCAGATTATACCTATTTGTGAGAATAAATCTAAACCTACTATCCAGGATAACAAATGCAGCCTGTGAAATAGCACACTTCAAATTTTGGCACCTGATGTACCCTCAAAATTAATTAGGAAGCTGAATAAGGTGCCATTAGGACTTTTGGCACTATTACACTATCAACTAAAGATATTTGAAGGACCTTTTGTTTCTAGTTAGATTGTTAACCGACAATAATTTTGATAGCTCTGAATATTTTCCCTCAATTACCCACATACACCCCCAAGAAGGTTAGAGGCTGTGGGGGTCTTAGTCACTGATAGTTATATTGACACTATCAATCACTGGCACTGGGTTCAAGTTAACTGTCATCTACTACATATGACACCTGTCAAGAATTGAGTCTAGACATCAATCAGGTGATGTGTCACATAATCCATCATATAACTTCAAAAGTAAAAGTCCCAAAGATAAAGTAAAAGGAAAATAAAATTGAAAATAGATGCCAAAAATACTGTTATTACAGCAGCTCCCATCCAATCATCATATTGCACATTGTAACTTAATAGTATATTGTTAGAGATCTTGCTTTATATTAAAGTAAACCAGATTAAGTATTCATTGGCTAGGGTATAGGATTTAGCTGACAAAATAAACTTTTGCTAGTGTAAGCAGCCAGTAGCACAGGATGCAAGCTGTGATTTCCTGGATATATCCAAAGAACTTCAAGGCAGGGTAGTCATTGTGTCTGAGTCTCAAATATATTTAACATGTATCTGGTGGAAACATTGTGTTATTGTTTACCAATCCCACAAATCATAAACTCGAGGCTTTAGACATTGCTAATTCCAAGTACATACAATATTTCAACATGAACTATGTATTTGGAATTACAGAATTAAGATTCAGACAAGTTGAAGGGGCTGTTCACAATGAGGACAACTCTACATTCATTTTTTTTCAGAATGAGAATGTGTTACAAGGCATTGTGGAAAACCTAATAAAACTATGTGAAACTCAGCCGCTGCCCAAGAGGCTATAGAAATGGCTTTATTATTTACCTATATAAAACTACAATGAATGTTAGTTTAAGGTGATCTCTAATAAATGTAATGTAACATACCTCAGCCGCTGCCCAAGAGGCTATAGAAACGACTGAGGTATTTCTATACTAAACCCCCTACTACTTATAGTTGGAGGTGCTACTTGCTATAGTATAATGACTCCTAGGAGAACAATGGTGACTCTATGGAGTGGTCGCTATGCTCCACGGAGAACAATGGCTGCTTCAGGGACCAGGTTTATCTGGTTTTGTCAAAACCTACATTGCCAATATGACTACCAAGTTCCTATAGTTCATGCTGACAATGTTTTTGGGTTAGGAATAATTCCCATTCAAAGTACATTGGTACTTACTATTAGTTCCATTTTTATTGCCCCACACTGTAATACCAGATCATGAACATTATATGTGCCATGCAAAGGCAACAAGAACTTCCTTCAGTTTAGGCATTTCAACACTCACACCAGGAAAGTCTCAATCTCACAGTGTTGACCAAGGTGCCTCTCAAATTCCAAGCAGTGGGTATATTTTATGTGGTTGATTTATTGTTTGACATCTGTGTGGATCATAGCAAGTACCTTCTGTGATACCAAGTGCTCCAGTAGCCCCAAACTTTGCTACCACCATCAATCAAATATCCGGCCTAAATCTCTTGACCATATCTGAGAGTTTGATAGCCGCCAATGAAAACACTGATTCCTTCCATGGTGAAGGATTTAATTGTATGTTTATCATGTACAGTCCTGTGTTTACATTTATTCATATGGATAATCAGCTTTTCTTACAAGTAGTGCACACTCTGGTCCTACCCTCAACAACCAACAAGCGACCTTTGGATCTGTCTGACTATCTTTTACAAGCAGCTGAAAGCTCGCTTCTACTCCTAACAATGTGACAACACCAACAAGACACAGTCTTGGGGCACTGGAGCACAATGAAACAACACTCAAAAGAGGAGGAAGAGGTGGGAGTGGTTACCCATTTGGTAGGAACAAGTGAGTTGTTGGTAGACAACAGGAGGACTCGCTGAGTCCTTCCCCATGTATTGCTCCTGTATATATACTAAAATACATGAGGTACTATACAGTTGTAAATAAAGTTTGAAGTCCAATGTCTAGCATGTGACCTGGAAAAATAAAAGTAAAAGTACGAAAAAGGTGAAGTGTAAGTAGGTACTGGTATGTC